ATAATGACACCCAATTCGAGTCTTCATATATGTACTTTGGATAATGATGTCCATCACATTCCACCATCCTTGCTAATCCCCTGCCCCCTCTATTTCCCTCCCACCCCTCTTCCCTATCTAGAATTCATCTGCACTCTTAGAGAACGTTCTCTAATTTTTGTGTTTTATTTTTTGCTGTTGCTTTCCTCGTTTTTTGCTTCCTAGTAACTGTTAGAATATGCGATTCTCAGTATAGGTGACTCAGGCCATGTCAAATAAAGAATTTCCACTATGGTATCATTTATGGTAATTTAGCAATGTTTGACTTTTGCTCCCAGTGCTTTGAATTCCGGTTCTCACGATTCTAATTCACATTTCCCATGTTATTCTATTTGGGTTGTGGATAGCTTGTTGATTTTTCACTCTGGGTGCTTCTCTTGGTTTTGGTATCTTTTGGTGCTCTTTTTTCTTCCTCTTTGTGGAAATCAGTTTCGTTCTAGCAGCCTATTTGTCCTTTCTACTAATGCAATAGCAAATCTTTTAAGGTTTCTCAGAATTCTCCTATCAGATCTGCCTTTTCCCCACCTCTTAAAGCTTTTAATCTTTGATTAAGTAAATATGTGCTCAGGAACTTGTGTGAGTCTCATAAACATTTATATGAGGCTGAGTTGGTTAAATGATGAAGAGACAGTAAGTTCATTAACTTACTGCCTCTTCATGTCTTCACTTCCCTCCTAACCGTTTAAATACCACAGTCTGTGCACGCTACCCACCTGTCATCAGTTAGTGTCAAAATATGTAAATTAACTCATACAATTTTCAGGTAACCATGGGAACCATCTGCAAACCATGCTTAGTTAAACCTCAGGCAACATAAGTAAATATTTTACGTGTATATGTCAGGCTGGAAGATATGTTGGAAAGTCATCTAATCTCACCGTCTTTTCTCTGTGTAAACTTAAACTTAGACTCCCAGTAAAAACATGGCATTTTATGTAAGTGAAGATTGGTGGAAGGAAGTTGAAAACTGAAAAAAGCACTACACGTTTTGGGTTTATGTGAGTGAACTTGTGTGAATGAACCAGCGTACAAATGAATGACTAGATCCAGCCTTGACTGACGACTGTGCAGGGACAATCGACTTCTTTTTAATCTTAACTTCAAGTTTTTTCCCACCAATAGGCCATCACCTAACTGGGAACAGGGTAAATGAAGCAGTTACATCATCTTTAACTGCAGCACTATGAAAGGTTTTGCAAAGATGACAAAAGTATTCACAACATTCAATGTTGAAATTTTCACTGGGCTAACAAGTTCTAGTTATATATTATCCAAACACGGCAATAGGAGGAGACTCCCCATTTTTTGGCAGTAGATCAAAATAAATAAAACTGGAGAAAGGTATCTAATGATAGATAAGGATTTTATGTGTAAGAACAAAGAGGTGACTGAAAACAGTAAAGGAATTTAAATCCATATTTTTTTAATTTGTGTTTGTTTTTTAATTTCTAAAATTCACATAGTACAAATCTACCTAAGATCTCAAGGGGGATATAAGATCTCAAGATTTCCAAAAGGTAAAAGGTATTTTATTTATAAGCATTTATTTTGAATGCACACTAGGTAGATTATTTATTTATTTATTCATTTATTTTAGTTGTTGATAGACCTTTATTTTATTTATTTATTTGCAGTGCTGAGAATCAAATCCAGTTCCTCACGCATGCCAGGAAAGTACACTAGCCCTTAGCCCCAGCCCCAGCCCTAGATTTTTATTTATGATAAGAAAGTTATGGATATTTACTTATTTTGAATTTGTTCACATATGGTCTAATTGTGTGCATTATGCTTCGAATGTTGTATTTTCTGGAAAATGCCAAAAATTCTATAATTTAGTATTGGCAAGAACTTCCTGGAATTTTTAAGCTTCACAGAGCAATTTCCTAAGACTTTTCCTATAATAATTAATAGAGGAAAACATACGTCAGCAAGTATTTCAGGCTTTTGCGTCATGGAGGTATTCTTATCAAAATTGTCTTCTCTGTCACCTGCATCAAAAGACTT